GTCAGTCAACCAGTGCCGTTGTTCACCCGCCCCACAGGATACCAACGACCCCCAATCGAAAATCTACGGTTGGGAAGAGCCCCGCGCGGCCCAGGCGCTGCGGAACCATGCGAGCGGGCGCATCAACGCCAAGCGCTTCTTTGTCTGGGTGCTCACGCTGAAGGACTTCGAGCCGCGGTTCATCAACGAGGTGCTCGCGGAGATCCCACCAACTCTTCGCCGCAACGGCGTGCTCTGGATCGGCGAGACCAGAGTGGGGAAGTCGACGGCATCGAAGACACTTGCGCTCTTGATGTCCATGCTCGAGATCGATGCTCTCGAGGGCGATGCCAGGGAGGGCGCGCCCGAGCCTTCAATCCCACCAGCCCTCTGGGCGTAGGTGGTCTAGAGCAGATCCTCTTCCACCCCTCCCTCTTCCCCCTTGGGGAGGGGTTTACCCCTCCCCCTACCCCCTCCCCTGGACCTGGACGGGGGGGGCCGCGGGTAGTTAGAGCGTCCCAGATGGCCCAAGACGGCTCCAAGAGCGCCTCAGAGAACCCAAGATGAGCTCCAAGATGGCTCAAGATAGCGCAAGATCGCTCGAGATGGCTCCTAAGATGGTTCCAAGAAGCCCAAAGACGGCCCCAAGATAACTCCAAGTGGCCAAACAGCTCCCCAAGGAGGCCCCGAAGAGGCCAAAATCGTCCCAAAACCTAAGGAAAATCAATGATTTTTGCTTTCTCGCCTTTTCGCTTCCGATGGCCATCCGAGGCCTGGAGATGGTTCCAAGATGGCCCAAGAGGGCCCCAAGAGAGCCCCAAAAGAGCCCCAAGACGGCCCCAAGAGCGCCCAAGAGCACTCCAAGAGCGTTCCAAGAGGGGTCCAAGAGGCGATTTTAGGGGCTTCCGAGGGGGGACGCTAATTAAACCCCCCCTCTTGTTTGATCGATCTCCTCCAAGATGGCCCCAAGAAGCGCCCAGGAAGCCCCAAGAGGTCCCAAGATGGCCCCAAAATGGCCCCAAGAGGCCCCCAAGAGGCCCCCCGGAGGCCCCCAAGAGACCCCCAAGAGGCCCCAAGAGCCCCCCCAGATGCACCCAAGATGCTCCAAGAGGCCTCGGCGAGAATGCCTAATCATTGATTCTACACAGGTTTTAGCCACATGGAGGCCTCTTGGGGGGGGGCACGGATTAAGATGACTCCAAGAGCGTCTGGGAGAGCCCAAAATGACCTCCAAGATGGCTCAAGATATCCCAAGATGTCTCATAATGGCTTCCTCTGTGTGCTGCCCACTTCTCTGATCGAGGCAATTCCTCTGGGCATCGTTTCTGGATGGGCTGGTGGGGATTCGCGAAGCGACAACAGTTGTCACCGCCTAGCAGTTTGATTCCTCCACGGGCGAGCCCGCGGAGAGGGCGCTGCCCGCGGTGTTCGACGACGGGGATTTGCGCGCGCAGGGCGCGTCCGTGTTGAAGGCCTTCCTCAACCCGAGCGAGGAGGATCCCACGCTGTGGGCGAGGTGGGGGTCCAGCACGCTCGCCCCAGGGGCGCCCCGCCAGGCCGCGAACAACAACTACGACAATGCCTTGGAGAAGCGGCTGGTGGCATAATGGCACCAACACAAACCAATAGAGATCGCGATCCAGCAGCTCATGGATCTCATCGCGCCCACCCTGATGCAGATCACGGAGGAAGAGGACATGAAGGCCCTGCTCGCGAGGGCCCACGTCGTCGCCACCACGGACACGCGCGTGAATTTCAGTTTGGCGCCCGACGAGTTTCCCGAGGGCGGCGCTGCGCCCTTCTACTTATACAGCAAGAAGTCAACGCCTGCCTTCTTCAATAACTCGCCAGATCCGCACGCGTGCATCGGCAAATACATGGGAGACCCGACGTCTCCGAACAACTACCCGCCCGACTTCAAGGAAAAGGCGGGGTTGCCCCTGAATTTCGCAAAGCGCTGATGCGCGGCGAACCAGTGCCCACTGCGCCGACCACCCGCGAGACCTCGCTCTTCGGGGAGCCCGCGCACAGGGTTCAGCCAGAGATCGCGGCCCCGCCAGCGGGCGTGCCCGCGGCCCCGATGGCGGCCCCAGCCGCGCCAGATGAGGGCCCCCCAGCCAAGCGGGCGAAGCCTGGTGCTCAGGAGGGGCGCGCGGCGTCCCCGGACCCTTTCGCGGGCGGCTTCAGGTGCGACCACCTCGGGAGCGACCGCGGCGACTCCGAGGACAAGGAAGAGCAGCCGCTCGGGGCCCCCGCGCAGGAGATCAAGCGGCTCCGGGGGTTCCGCCAGACAGGTGCCATCACGCTCAGGGAGTTCAACGCATTGTAGAGGAGCGCGATCAGCGATGGGCTCAACGCCCCGCAGAATGTTGCGCCCGCCAAGAAGGAGGAGCGCAGCGCCAAGCGGGAGCAGGCGCCTCGCGCGCCGATCAAGCTGGACCCAACCGAGGGGGCTGCCGAGCGGGAGGCGTTCGAAGCGAAGCCCGTGGACATGGGGGCGATCGGGGGAGTGCAGAAGTCGGGCGGCGCTCGCGAGGCGTCATAGGAATCGCCCACTTGTTGTCCAGCGGTTGCTTGAGTTGCGCGCCGTTTGTCCACGGTCGCGGCTGCCCCTCCAGGCAGCGTGTAAAAGGCGATTCTTTTGCGCGCTCTCATCCCGCCGCCTTGCTGCTGAGCCCCCAGCAGGCGTCGCGGCGATCGGCTCGGGCGTGGACTGAGTGCGGCCGCAGCAGCGGGGGGCCGGGCGTAGCAGATGAGTCTAGCTGCGGTCGGTAGCCGAGTTCGCTCGGGGAGGCATGCGGCTGTTGGGGCGCATCCAGATCGTTGGGGGATGTACGCAACATGTGTCAGCCTTTATATGCATTCTGCGCTCTTGGCAATGATGGATACCGCATGCGGGGGCGCCGTTGCGTCCTTGCCTCTGCGCCACAACGGCCGCGCTGTCCTTCCACTGATCGCCTCGCTTGCCCCGCAGCATTTTGGCTCAGTTGTCGCCGTCGGCATGGTCGTCGCATCTATCGCCCCCGCCGATGGCGAAGACGGCGACGAAGGCCATGGAGACCCCGAAGGCCACGAAGACGGCGGTGAAGACAGCGATGATGACCATGAAGGTCGCCAAGATGCGCGTCGCTTCGCGGCGCCCAGCGTCCATGGGCAATGCCCGCTTCAAGAGGCGCGCGAAGGGGTCCGTTTGCGCATCGTCTGGCACGATGACGCGGCCCGGGGCCGCATCGAAAGTCGGCAGGGCCAGGGCGAAGGAATAAATTGCCTGGCCCCCGCTACAATGACAGAAACGCCGGCAAAAGAGGAGACGGCGCCCCTCGCCGGCAAGGCCGAGGCGGAGCGCATTGACTTCCGAGGGCTCTGTGGCATTGACGTCGCAAACAGGATTCGCGTTGGCGCGGAGCTCGGGTATTTGCCGCAGATGGAGGACACGAAATGCCCGCGCGATTGCGGCGCTAAGTTGTCCCTCCACGCGTTCGCAGACAAGGGGTGTCCTGGCATCTCCGTCAATGTGGGCGACGTGCAAGTATCTGGGAGATCACGTAGCGCAGCGCCCTCCCGATGCATTTGGGGGCGTTGGGCGTTGTGGGGAGGGGCGGTTTTCTATGTGAGATGGGTTGTGCGTTATGTTATCTCTTCAGGTGAGTGCTCCGACGTTGCGCAAGTACCGCTGCGGCGATTGGACGCGCAGCAGGAACAGAAGGGGCATCGCGGCCCAGAGCGAGGAGGGCGCCCCCATCTCTCTCGGCGGCAGAGGGAGAGCACCAGCAGGCGAAGGGCTACTCGCTGTGCACCTGGCGCGCGCGCCCCGGACTGCGCGCCACCCGAGTCGCGTGCTGGGCATTTCGAAGGACTTCATGGCGTTGTACTTGGACGAGGCGTGTCGTCGCATGGCCTAGCTGAGCCTTGAAGAGCAGGCCCGCATCAAGTCTAAGGACGGCATGCTCGTGGAACTCGGCGAGTGCGGCATCAGGGCCGAGTGGGTCAGCTGCAAGAAGCCGTCCGACAAGTGCAAGCCAGAATGCCCTGGCTACCGCTTGCTCTGGAACCGTTGGCTCATCATGGTCGAGCGCGGCAACAGGGCCAACATGATTCTCATCCAGCTCCCCTGGGAGACGAGCATGGCTGGCGGCGGCGGCGTGCCCTTGAGCGGGGTCCAGTGCGACGAGGCCGTCAGGAAGCACCTCGGGTCGCGGCCAAGGCGCGAGCGGGAGCGCTTCCGCGCCCACTACCGCAAATTCGCCATGTCGCACGGCGTGGTGAGCCACAAGAAAGAGGAGTGGGTTCTCGTGAAGGCCGTGCGTGTGCAGGACAAGAACGGGAACGTCCACATGGTCAAGCTCAAGCACGGCACGGAGGCGGCGGACGGCAGCTGGGACGAGGTCAAGACGGCGCTCCCGTCCTCGATCAAGAGCTACGGCCACGACCGCATCGCCGAGAACGTCCACGCGTGGGCGTGGCGCGCCAGGCGCCATGGAGCCGACCTCTTCGCTGCTCTGTGCGCGAGGTAGGTGAGGTCTAGTGAGGAGCCCGACGTCGGGGGCCGCGGGGCGCGCGGGGTTCGGGGAGCATGCAGGGCGTGAGACCATGCTCAGTCGCAAAGCAGAGAACGCGTTGCCACGGGGCGGGTGCCCCTTCGCGAAAATATTACGCTGATCTCCAGAGCGGGCCAGGAAGGAGGAGGAGGATGAGGAGGAGGAGGAAGAGGAGAGGAGTTGAGAAGAGGGAGAGAATGGACGAACGAAGCGGAGTTGGAAAGAGAGCGTTTCCGTTTGAAGCCTTTTAGGGACCTAGGGCGCCCCACCCTCATCCAATCTGGCGCCGTCTGGCTCCCCTGCTCCGCCGCTGGCCAGCACACCGCTGGCGCGTCCACGGGACACGTCACCGACGTGACCCGCGACCCGTGCCCACGACGGGGGACCCCCCGAACAGCGGAAACGGCAACAGAAAAGGCGAGGGCGGAAACGGCGAGGGCGGAAACGGCAACAGAAAAGCAGGGCGGAAATTGGCATCAGCGGGGCTTGAAAAGTAAGGCGGAGATTACAAGCCCTATTTACGAAATTGCCCAAAGTAGGGCGGAACTGGAGTCAGGGACCCCCTCTGCGCTCTTCTCCGGGCAGGCTGCGGCCACCAGTCGGCCCCAGTCGGCGAGGAGCAGGGGCGATCTCCCGGGCCGAGGCTTCCCTCGGGTCGGGCATGTCCCCCTGCAGGGGGATTCGGGGCGAAACATGAAAAAGAGGAGGAGGAGGAGGAGGAGGAGGAGGAGGAGGAGGAGGAGGAGGGGGAGGGGGAGGAGGAGGAGGAGAAGAGAGAAGCCAAAAGCTACACCAACATAATCAAGGATAGCCCAAAAAACACCACCATACTATTTGTTTTGACAATTTCTGAAGAGTCCCCCTATAGGGTCTGTGGCCTAAGGTCTACAGAAAGAGGGAACAGGCCAGAAGAGCCAGGAAGCGGTCAGTTTAAGATGCTTCCATTCGTCACCGACCTAGTCGCCATACCCGTAACTCTGTAACCCCTACAAGGGGATTCTGGGCGAAAAATAAAGAATAGCCAGAGACTACCCCCGAAAGAATCAATAATAGCCAACAAAAACACCACCATACTATTTTTGATTATTTCTGAAGATTCCACGTAGAGTTGTGGACGCCATGACAATGGACACTCTAACAGTCCCAGCATTGAATCAAAGACGTGTTTACAAAGCGTACAACATGTTCTAAACACGTCTCAAACATGATGTTGACATATGTTGAAACATGTCTGAGACATCTTTTACACATCTGGAAATCATTTGGCAGCATGTTTCCTCTCCATTAACCGACATCCACAACTTTGGCGGCGCGCACAGGGGGGTGGAGGGAGGGGGGGAGGGCTTCTTAGAAGCAGGCTGCTTCTTAGAAGGCGCAGGCCTTACCTCTATAGATAAGGCCCGCGCCTTCTGAGAAGCAGGGGTGCTTCTAAGAAGCCCTCCCCCCCAGCGGCTCCTTCTCAAACGTCGGGCTCTCGTCTGAGCGCCGCGCACTCTCGTCTTGAAAGCGGGCAGAACTTACGGGGATGGGGGTCGGCCTTTTCAAAATGGGCGCCTCGTCGTCGTCCTCCTCCTCCTCTCCTCCTCCTCCTCCTCCTCCTCCTCCTCCTCCTCCTCCTCCTCCTCCTCCCCCCCACCCCCCGTGTGCGCGTGGCTGAGCAACTGCCGAGGGACAGGCCCGACTTAAGGCTTCCCCCCCCCCTCGAGGCCAGCGCCCCCCGCCGGGCGAGCGGAGGCCACGGCGGCTCCAGGTCGGCCCCCCGGGAAGGGACAAAAACAAGCACACAAAAAAACACACACACGCACGCACACACACAAACACAGACACAAAAAAACACAGAGTCTGTGGGAAAAACACACACGCACACACAGTGTCTGTGGGAAACACACACACGCGCGCACACACACAATCACAGTGTGAAAAAAACACGCCGTGTCTGTGTGTTTTTCCCACACGCACAGTGTTTGTGTGTTTTTTCCCACAGTGTGTGTGTGTGTGTGTGTCGTGTGTCGTGTGTGTGTTTTTCCCACAGAGTCCTGGGGACCGCAGCGCACCGGCTCTCCGAGCAGCGCCCAGGCGTGGCGGCGACGGGGGGCCCCCGAGAGGCGGCTACAGTCAACCCGTGCAGTAAGGATGCGCGACAGCCCAGGCCCCAAGGAGCTGTGACAAAAATCACGACGGGAAGCTTTTTGCGATTTTCGGCCTCCAGGGGCCCTCACCGGGCCTCGAGACCGTCAAAAAACGACTCAGGATGAAAAGCCGGTCACGGGGAAGGGGTCCAGGCCTTTGGGGGTCGACGTTGTGAAAAAATCACGACGTCGGGGGTCTGGGAAGGATCTATACCGTTCCTCGGGGGTGCGCAAGCATGGATTCGCGACCCATGTAAGGAGAGCCGAACTCTGTACACCGACGCCTTTGTCTGGCCTCACACTGAGTCTCGCACAGGAAAGCAGATCCTGGTGTATACATTCTTCGTTGCTTCCCTGGGGAAGCGAAGAAAAAAGTATACACCACGCTACCCCGACGTCGTCTCCGACCCTCAAAAAAGTCCTGGGACCGGGCCCCCGAAAGGCGACTGCAGTAAACCCGTGCAGTAAGGATGCGCGATAAGGACGCAAGGGCCTTGGGCGCCCAATTCGAAGCTCTTCGAGCGGGGCGCGGCCAACGAACGTGGCGAAGGATGGGCCGAGGGGGCAAGGATGCAAGGGTACCCTTGGAAAGGCTGCCCATCCTTACTATGCGGGTTGACTCTATACCGTTCCTCGGGGGCGCGCAGACATGGACTCGCGATCCACGGACTTGGCGCGCGGTCGCCAAAGCCATGGATCGGGGGAGGTGCCCCCCCCAAAATGCGGCCCGTGCCACCCCGTCCGGCGGCGGAACTCCGCGACCTCCCCTGGAAAGCGGGGCCCGCCGCTGATCCACGCCCCCTTGGTACGTACCCATGTCTGCGATCGCCTGACCACCCCAGGGCCCAAACGCACCGGTGTTCCGAGCAGCGCCCAGGCGTGGCGGCGACGGGGAGGCCCCCGGGAGCCGACGATGCCGTGGCCTCGGCGGGCACTCCTCCGCAAGGCTCCCCCCAGTCCCAGACATGCGGCACCTTGACTTTTGCAGTAGATGGGCTCCACCTGGACTGGGACGCACATGGACATACTAATACTATATGTCCTCCTTGGAGGCGCGCGTCCGACCCGAACATATAGTATACCCATCTTGTAGTATATCGTTTCCCGAGCGGTGTGGCCAGAATGCGCCCGCCACAACGCATATACTATAAGATTCCTCGGTGCGCGCGTCGCCCCTGGGGGGGCGACGCACATATAGTATAAGTATGTTGGGGTGTTGCCGATGGACGTCCCGACCCCTCCCCCGGGACCAGCCTCGCATCCCGAATCGCTTCTTGACGGTCCTTCTGTTGCATCCTCGGGGGGCCTTGTCTGTCCCGTCGCGGCCTTATCCGCGTCGAATCCGTGTCGGCCTCGTCGGATCTGTGCCGAATCCGTGCCGAATCCGTGTCGGATCCGCGTCGAATAGACGCCAAATCCGCGTCGAGTCCGCATCGAGCCCGCACCCGGGCACAAGAAAAGACACCATTGCAATTCCATTCTGGGGACGCGCGGGGCCCCCCCCCCCCGAGGGTGCAGCGTGACGGCCCCTGGGGGCCCGGCGAGGGCCCCCAGAGGCCGAAGAAAGGCCCAAAACCTGTCGCAGCTGCTTGCTTCGCGACGCGAGCATTAGGTCGGGCATGTCCCCCTACAGGCGGATTCTGGACGACCAATAAAACATACCCCCAGAAAATGCCCCCAAATACTCGACAAATCGTCCCTGGACTATGCTTTGACTATTTTTGAATATTCCCCCTCTAGAGGGACAGGCCCGATTTAACGCGATCATTTGAGCAGGGGCCGACCGTCCTGGCATTCCTATAGTCCTACCACGAAATGTCCTTCGAACCCAAAAATGATCTAAGAACAAAAACCATGTTCTCAGAACATGAACCCGATACGGGTAGAACAGCACAGCCCCAGCCAGAAATGCTCTGATAACCGTTCGTGCAAACCACGAAAGGCTCTTAGAACATTCTCTGGTGGGGCTGTAGGCGAGCCAGGACGCTTCGCTACTACTTGAAGCACGTCGGGGTCGGGCAGCGCGACCCGGCCGAGGCGACCCGGCCACAGCGAACCCTCGCGGGAGGCCGTCGTCGCGTCGGCCGGTCGGCCCGCTCGGCGCCCCGGGCAGGCGCCAACGTCGAGAGCCTGGGCCCGCCAGAGAGGCTCGTCGTCGTCGTCGTCGTCGTCGTCGTCGTCGTCGTCGTCGTCGTCGTCGTCGTCGTCGTCGTCGTCGTCGTCGTCGTCGTCATCACGAGGCTCGATGCTCCAAGATCGAGGTTCGAGGCTGCAGGGAAGGAGTCCAGGGACCCAACCCGTGAGGCTCGAGGCTCGAGGTTCGAGGCTCCAGGACTCGAGGCTAGAGGTTCGGGGCACGTCGGTGGCGTTTCGGAGGGAGGGAAGGAGAGAGAGAGAGAGAGAGAGAAGGGGAGGGCCTTCGAGCCAGCACCCACCTGCATGAATATGTCTCCATACAAGCGCGCGTTGTGGCAACAGCCACGACGTCATGTGTTGGCCGTTTTCGGCCTCTGGGGGCTCTCGCCAGGCCCCAGGACCGTCAAGAAACGATTCGGGATGAAAAGCCAGTCCCAGGCGAATGGCGTGGGACAGCGATGCAAGCTTTTCAAAGTGGGCGTTGTCGCGAGTTTCGAGGCCTGGACCATCACAGATCGATCCGGCTCGAAAAACGCAGCAGAAAGATTGGGTCTACGTGAGGCGTCGGGCGTGGCTTTTGCGATGTCGTGATTTGGGTCGCGAAGTCAGATCTCCAGGGAAGCACACATTGTCAGCCGCTGGGTCTTTCGCCCAGGGCCTCTGCGTGAAAAGGTCCCCCATCTGCTTCCGCCGCATGCTACGACGCGGCGCGCGAGCCGAAATGCCCTAGCCCTGGAGATCCTACGTGTCTCTGCAGCCGGCGAGCCAGCCAGACGCCCCCGCGAGGAGCTCCTGTGGAGGGGGCGAGAAAGGGAGCCACGACCGAGACTGAACACGGAAACGTCTCTTGGCCACCGCGGATCATCTTCGCGAATCGGAAAAGCCGATATGGACCAGGACACAAATCGGCATCGACAAGATCCCGTGCCATATCGGTGAGGAGGAGGAGGAAAAGGAGGAAGAGGAGGAGGAGGAGGAGGAGCAGGAGGAGGAGAAGGAGGAGGAGGATGAGGACGTGGAGGGGGAGAAGGATGCAGAGAGGAGGAGGAGGAGAAAGAGGAGGAGGAGGACAAGGCGGAGGAGGCGGCGACTGAGTAGGAGGAGGAGGAGGAGGAGGAGGAGCAGGAGGAGGAGGAGGAGGAGGAGAAGGAAGAGGAGGAGGAGGAAGAGGAGGAGGAGGATGAGAAGGTATTGGGCTTGAGTGGGCCTAGGGAGGCCCGCAGGAGTTCTAGCCTCACGTGCGTCGGCGCCTCAATACCCGACCACGCCTTTGTCTCGATACTCCAAGACTCGCTCTGCCGAGCCAGCCTGGTACACCGCAGAGCCCGCAGATGGCGAGCTTCATTGGAGGCCTGGAAATTGGCACCAACACCAGCACAGGGGTTTGCCTCCACAGGGAGATGATGATCTTAGATTTCGGTGTTGGTGGTAATATTTCGGTCACCTTGGAAGCCAGAATATTACCACCATCACCGAGATCGGGATCGCCTTCCCTCGGTGGAGGCACACCGCCGATCTTGGTGTTGGTGTCAATCTCTAGGACTCCGAAGCTTCAGCCAGGCGTTTGGTGCGGGTGCAAGCCGCATCAGATCTGCTTCGAAGTCATCACAGCGCTCAGCGACCACGGCAGACTTGTCGGGAGCGGCCAAGAGGTGTCCAAGAGGGGGGGGTGCAAATCATGACCGGCGGCATGTGCGCGGCCCAGCGGGGGGGCCTGGGACGCAATGACATAAGAAGAGGCGCCATGAAATCTGAGGAAAAATCATGGCCCGCGCCATGAAATCCCCCCCCCCTAGTCATCCCCCCCCCTCTTTTCCGCTCCCGAGCTTCAAGGGAGATGCCCGTGGACATGGCACCGGGACGGACGTGCGGCGCGCGTCGTTGGGGGGGCAGCATGCGAACCCTACCCCTACCCCCCACGATTTCTGAGGGGGAGGGTGGGGTTCACTCCGCTCGGGAGCTCCCGCACGAAGTGAACCCCACCCTCCCCCTCAGAAATCGTGGGGGGTAGGGGTAGGGTTCGCATGCGGCCCCCTAGTCGTACGCACGTCGACGGTCGTCTCTGGTCCTGCCCGCGTGGATCGCCCTTCGCAGGTCGAGCTCGTCGCGGCAGGAGCAGAGCGGAGAGCTCCGCCGGACAGTCTCGAGAGCATGTGCCATGGGTTCCTGTACAGTCGGGGGCTTGGCCTAAGGAACCCAAAATAGGGCACGAGGCCCCCTTTTTCCATGAGTTGAACTTCGATTCCCGATCGAAGACATAAGGATAACCTGAGGCAAGCCGTGAAACACTCAAGGAACACGGAGCCCCTCCCCAACGAAAAGGGTTCCTTCTGCAGGGCCCCGGCTGTACAGCCGAAGGCGCGGCCTGGCAGCCAGAACAGACGTCAGGGGCAAGGTTCAGATCGAGAGCCACGCCAAGATCGCGATGCCACAGAGCCTCGCAAAGCCACGGACAAGTACCTCGGGCGCATTGTTCCAGCCACACAGCAGTATGCGGAGACACACCTATTGTGGCCATAATGGAAGCAGCCAGATGATCGACGCAATTATGGAGCATACAAAGATCGCCTTCGCAGCAGAATGACGGCGTTGGCCAACCTGGGAGTTACTGCTGTCAGAGCTCGCAAGAGCGACGAGGAAGTCAAAGAGGAGATCAGTATGCTCAAGTACGCAGCCAATCAGCTCAAGCCACTCAAAGATCAGCTTTTGGAAGCTCTAGATCTATTGGCACAGGCAAGGGACAGGCTGAACAATACATCTGAGCGCATCAATCAGCAGGGACAGATGCAGGAAACGAAACTCTTCGCCAGACAAATTATCAGATGCAATACAGTGCGGGCGCGGCCGCAAGAAACCCTCGCAAGAAACCCAACCCTGAGAACCCGCGCGCGAGGTGCACCGGAGGGGAAACCTGGAGCACCCTGAACGCAGCAGCTCCTTCAGCGGCCGCGGGAAGTCGCCGCGCAGCGCGAGCAGCAGAGAAACCGAGGATACCCTGACGAAAAGCATATGGTTACTTGATGCGCGCCCCCACTGCATCAGATGCAGGCCGTGCAGGCATACATGCACGCTCATCCAGCCTTCTCTCAGGCACCAGCGGGACCGTGCCCGACCCCGCCAGCATCAGCTGTGGGGTTCCCCATGGCGCCTTCGCAGGGGATCAGCGCGGGCGCGACGGCGGCTGGCGGCTCAGGCTGCAGCGACGAAAAGCTGCGCCACGTCAGGATGTACCAGAGCTTGGGGGTGACTGCGACAGCGCCTCGCGCGGTCCCTCGCCGCACAGGCACTGCAATGAATGGCGCGCGAGCTCCTCGTATCCTCTATTTCGACAGGTCTCCGACTCCACAGCACAAGATGGTGGGGGGGAGGGATAGCAGGAGAGAGGAGAGGGGGTCTGCTGCAGCGAAAGCGACGCAGCCGCCAGGGGGCGCCAGCTCGGCGGATCGGCACCGCCAAAGGCTGGACGAGCGTCCGCAGGAGCCGCTGGCCCAGAGGCCATTGGCGACGGGCGACCGGATGGGCGCACGCGCCCTGACCGGCAGGCGTGCGGCCTGCAAGACATGGGTGGCAAGGGCTACCCCCCCCCCGAGGGCGGCAGGTGGAGCCCTATGAGCCACCCTCTCGCCAAGCCGGGCTCCCACATGGCCGCCGCGCGCTTGCGGTGGCGATCGCCTGCAAAGGGCGACCGTCCGCCAACGGCGGACAGTCGATCCCGACGCAGACTCAAGAGGGACAGAGCAGGAGAGCGGCCCCGTCCGAAGCTGAAGCCACGTGGGTGGAATTGGGGTAAGTGGCGACCGTGAAAACGCCCCCGAAAACGTGCGCGGCGCCAGCCGGTTGCAGCCCCATGCGCGCGCCGCGGGGCCGCGCGCAGGCCCGCTGGGGCCGAGGAGCTGGTGACGACTGCGATTGCGGGCGCTCGGGGGTGAGAAGGTAAATCTCACGGCCAAAAGAGTGAGCTGCCACGACGTGCGCTGTGCCGCTGGCGGGTCGCCCTGCGAGATGCCCGAGCGGACCGAGAAGAGCAGCGGGCGGGAGTGGGTGGTGGCAAAACGCTGCACCCCCTCCTCCTCCTCCTCGGAGGAGGAGGAGGAAGAGGAAGAGGTGAAGCAGAAGGAGGAGGAGGAAGAAGGGGAGGAGGAGGAGGAGGAGGAGGAGGAGGAGGAGGGAGGAGGAAGAGGAGGAGGAGGAGGAAAAGGAGGAGGAGGGGACGACGAGGAGGAAGAGGAGAAGAGGAGGAGGTGGAGGAGGAGGGGGAGGAGGAGGAGGAGGAGGAGGAGGAAGAGGAGGAGGAGGAGGAGGAGGAGAAGGAGAAGGAGGAGGAAAAGGTCAATGGACCTCGTGTTTCTTCCCTCGATCCTGAGCGGTCGCCCGCCGCCGCGGGTCCTCGTGGAGGCACCGCCGCAAGACCCACGCGCCACTGCCAAAAGGCCCGGAGGGCTGCTCGGTCACCGCGCGCCGCGGAAGGCTCTTGGGAGTGGCGACGTCGTCCGAAGCGCCGTCCTCAGGAGGCGGAGGAGAAGACCAGGAGGAGGAGGAAGAGGAGGAGGAGGAGGAGGACGACGCCGAGGAGGAGGAGGAGAAGACCAGGAGAAGGAGGAGGATGAGGAGGAGTACGACGAGGAAGAGGAAAGGAGGGAGGAGGAGGAGGAGGAGGAGGAGGAGGGAGGAGGAGGAGGGGGGCGGAGGCGGAGGCGGACGAGGAGGCCGGCGCAGAACGGAGGAGGAGGAGGAGAGGAGGGAAGGAGGAGGAGGAGGAGGAGGTGGTGGAGGGGGATGAGGAGCGGAGGAGGAGGAGGAGGAGGAGGAGGAGGAGGAGGAGGAGGAGGAGGAGGAGGAGGAGGATTGGACGTTGGACAAAACTGAGGGTTTTGCTCGCGCGCGTAGCCTCGCCCGCTCCTGCCCTCTGGCTCAAGGCCCCTTGGGGGCCAGCTTTTTAGGGTGGACGGGCGGGGCCATGCCTCGCTGCCCGGCCGAGGCTCGGCCAGGCAGTCTGAGGAGCGCTGGGCAATGGCAAGGCCAGGACCCCCCTTCCAGTGCGGGCGGCGACCGGAAGGGTCGCGCGGCCCGCTGCATGGCCTCGAGTGCGCGATGGCCATGGCCGTGGGCGCAGTGCTGACGTGGCTCGACGCGTCGCTCGGCATGGGACTGTACGCCAGCTTCTCCGCGACGGCCACGGTCTTGGGGCCATATGGGACGGCCACGCGCGGGGAGGCCCCGGCGAAAGCGACTCGGGCGACGAGGAGGAGCACGAGGGGCGGCCCAGCCATGACAGCAAGCCCAGCTGCTCAGACGAGAGCGGCGCGACGCCGCTAGCCATCGAGGGGCCTGCGGCATAGCCTGGGCCACTCTCGGCGGCAGCGACCCTCGCTCTCCTGGGGCCCCCGGCCACGGATCAGTCCACAGCCAGGGCCGACCCGGGCGAGCGCCCCCAGCCAACTGGTGAGTACGAGGCGGCAGGGCCCTTCGAGGGCCCGGTGCCGTGATCCGCCGTTGTCACGAGGCGGAGCGAGAGGAGCAAAATGGAAGAGCAGCAGGAGGAGGACAAACGCCACAGCGTTGACGCCCAGGTCGGCCGAACGTAAAAATGAAGAGGCGGAGGAGGAGGAGGACGAGGAGGGGGAGGAGGAGGAGGAGGAGGAGGAGGAGGAGGAGGAGGAGGAGGAGGAGGAGGACGAGGACGAGGAGGAGGAGGAGGAGGAGGAGGAGGACGACGACGACGAGGAGGAGGAGAAAGAGGAGATGAGGGGAGACGGCGAGGAGAACAGAGGAGGAAAGGAAACGCAGAGGAGGAGGAGGAGGAGGAGGAGGAGGAGGAGGAGGAGGAGGAGGAGGAGGGCGAAGGACGGAGGAGGAGGAGGAGGAGACCAAGACCAAAACCAGCTCATGGAGTCCCTGCTGTCATGTGCTACTACACTCTCGCCGTGCAACAGGCAGCTGTACTCTGAGGGGGAGCCCTGAAAAACTGCAGAACTCCAATTGCACTGTTCAGCGGCTACATCACACTGCACAGGACAGCACTGGCCGACCGGGACCCCTTTGAGGCACGCAACCCCCTACGGGGCCCGTCACACAGGCGCGAGCTAAGTGACATCACTCACCTCGGGCCCCCTCTTCTTCCCACGGCCTCTACCTCCTCTGCCTCGGGATCGTGGCAACTCAAAAACAGGAACCTCAGGTCTGACCTCACTTGCGTGCCACGAGAACTGCCTCTCACTACTCCTCAAGACATCTGGCTGGACGTGGTCCTGTCTAGTTAATGCTGCTAATCGCTCGCTCTGCTGCAGATGCTGGCTACCTCTCCGACTCACGCTCCCATGAACCTCAACAACTCCCGCTCCAGGGGGCCCCGCGGAGCTGCTCCCAGGAGCGGGGCCCCGCCCGCCGACTCGATGAGCTTCTCGAGCAAGGGGCCCACCTTGGCCCCCAGCGGTACCCCCCCCGTCACCTTCTGGCCCTCGGACTCCTTCTTCTTGTGGGGGCGGATGCGGAGGTAGGGCGCGGCGCGGTTCAGGTCGGCCTGGCTGATCGTGTGCAGGTGCTCCTCCCACATCTCCTTCATGTGCATCCTCAGGTCCTCGAGCTCTTCCTTCTTGGCGTCGGCGTCGCACTCTGGGATCGTCTTCGTGGCGCCGTAGCGGCTAACTGCCAGCGGCGCCGAGAGATGCGGGGGGCCGCGGTCCCTGTGGTTCACCGTCTCGCGCTTCTGCGACTTGGTGCGCAGCGCCTTGGACATCTCGTCGCAAGCCTCGCCTGCTGCGGAGCCCGCCGCCACGAGCCCCTGACCAGCCGCCACCTTGTACTTCGCGAAGGTCGCGGCGTTCAAATCTGCGATCTCGCGCGAGTCGCTGAGAACCAGGCGGGCCACGGTGTATTATTATCTTGCCCTTGCCCGCGCCCTGGTCCTCGCCTGCGCCCCCGGCCTTTTTGTCTCGGGGGGCGGCGGCGCCGGAGGCCGCCCCCTCCGTCGGGCCCTTGAACCAGGGCGGCGGCGCTGCGATCGGCTCTGCTTCCATGCCGACGGGGTTCAGTCGGTGAGCAAGGCTGGCAATGCAGAAGAGGCGCAGGGAGGTTTTCGACCAAATGGCGACAGAGAGATGCTGCGCCAGCTCCTTCGCATTCGCAAATCGGGCAGCAAAGCGAGGGGGGCTGCGCCAGCGGGGCCAGTGAATGAGGCCCTCAAGTAATACAATGCCCACGACATAGAGCACTAACCAGGTGGCGAGAGGCCGTGAACTTCGTGGAAAAAACCTGCTGGCAGTTTATGCAGGTGTTAGTAGGGGTCAACATATGCATGAGACTCCGAAGACGGTGATGATGCCGAAGGTGGTTCAGAAGACCCTTACGTGTAGAGAAGGCACAGCCACACGGTACTCCTTCCTTATCCAACCCGCGCACGAATGGTAGGTCAGTATCAAACTTGGCAGCAGCCTGTTGGGGCGGGAACCGTCCGTTGCCTGGGACGTTTGGCCCGGGAAACCCAGCGGGTGGAATATGGACCGAAAAACACGCGTGCCTAACCTCAGTGGTATCGACACTCACGAACTCCTCCGCTGCATCCCTATCGAGCAATAAGCGTAAGTCCTCCGAAACACGACGAATACCCTCGCAAGGTAGGCGCTGGCTGACTATGTCTAAATATGTTGCCACCTGTCGGGTCCACGGAGATGCCCACTGTGTCGGCCCACCCCCTAGCAGCTGAGGTCTATGCCGATCCAGTTTAGTCGTTCCGAAGAGCGCACAAAGTACCTGACTATGTTCCTCGGGATGACAGCTCCAGCTCTGGTAGAGCTTGACCCTGCGCGCTAGCATCTCAGTAGCTGCAAGGGCCAACCGTAGTCGGCCCAATACCTGTTTGTTGCTAAGTGTCTGTACGTGTGGCCCGTCGAAGTCCGCAACTCCTCCCAAGGCGGCTCGGCCCAATCTAGCTAGACAACTATCGGGGATGTCCGTGTCAGCCTGGGGGAGAACGAAGCTCTCGAGGCAGCTTGAGAGCGAGTTGTGGACGAAGCCGATGAATAAGCTGCGCTTCCAACGCCGCGGGGCCCTCAATCCCCGCGCTCCTCCGAGCGATGCAAATCCCCCCCTCGCGGCCGAGCAGCGCCGACAGACTTCGCCACGAGCGGATTCGCCCGCCGACGGGTGCGGTCCGAGGTGCCGCACTTTATCCTCGACTCGACCATCCAGCTTGAGGGCCGTGGATGCGCCTGTGCCCGATCTAGCCATAGCTCGGAGAAGTTGCTTGCATATGTAGCTCCTGCGCGAAATAATCGCTAAGCATTCCTGGTTGGTCGCATTCCGTCCGTATCCGAAAGGCTGTAAGGCATTGTTGGGGCTCTGATATGTAACTTTGAGCTTCGTAGTGAATTCTGCAAAAGACATCTCTGGGCTCGCGACAATGGCCCCATTGATTCCGTCGGCAAACTTGCACAAAGATAAATCGTTCCTGAGAGGGCCCCAGCTTGATCGAAGAAGACGGGATTGAGGATCTGCTGTCTGCTGTTCATACTGCCAACTGAGGATGAGGCGCGAGAACGCGCCCGCAAATGCCATAACTGCAAAAGGGTCCCCCATGGTGTCGCCCTCCCCCGGTTTGACGAGTAATGGCCCCTCCACCGCCGCCAGGCTAATGACTGCGTTACGGTACTTCTGCCTGCATATCCCCTGGTCGTGCTCTGCGGCGCACAAGCGAACGGTTTCGTCGACCTCCCCCCAGTC